TCCCTCCCCCTCGGAGGGAGAGCTGGGAGCCAGGAGGCCCGATTCTCGCTGGCGTTTCAGGATCAGGTGTGCCTCTCAGCGTCTGAGACGGTGGGCAGGGAGGGACATTCTGCTCAGAGCGGGAGCCCGCAGGGTTGACACGGGGACAGAGGGCCTCTTCCCCAGCCCCGGTGGGAAACGGGTGGTTCCTCCCCACCAGGTTTGTAAAGGCTTCTCTTCCCTCTGCGAGACACAGGGGAAAGCGCAGATAACACTTCAGTGACTCACTGGTGTCTGATGAAGGCGGGGAGAAAGCCTGGAAAATCCAAGCTTCAAGTGAAAAATGTACAAACGCTGGAATCTCCCCCCAAGAGAAGCAGACTCGCCACCTAACTGGTTTGTCATTCCGCTGAGCTTCGCGGAAGGAGGAAGGGCCGTGTTTAAACTCCACCCACCTGTCCACATCCCTCTCGATGTGTGTTCTGACAGGACAGGGGCACCCCTGGCAGCACCCCACAGCTAACAGAAAAGGCGCCCTCCCCACCGCGCCTCTCCAAGCGGAGGGCTGAGCCCGTCTCCGCCGGCCACCGGAGGAAGCCGCGCAGGCGGTCGGGGCAGGAAGGCGGCCACCCTCCTCGCCCTCTCCATTTGCTGAGGTAGCTGCCTCCCCGTCCATTAATGGGCTTCAAAGTGCTGCGAGGGGAGTCCATTTGGTGGAGACACAATCATCAGGCCAAAGGTGGCGCCCAGCCCCCCGCCGACTCGTCGGTAATGGCCACAAAGTCTGAAGCGTGGCTGCACTCTAGGCATAAAATATTCATTCAGGACGGCATAATGTATACATGTAGGCAAGGCATGGGAGCTCCTGGGGGAGAGATGCCAGCCAGGTGGCTAAGTGCTCATGAGAGAGAGTGCATGAAGGCATGGCTGAGTCCTGGTCAGATGCCGACGGGGAATTAGGCTGTTCTGGCCAAAGAGAAAGCGGTCTGGTCTGAGCAGCTTCTGATTCTCAGATCTAACCAGGCAAATCTCTCAGGTACACAGATTCTCAATCTCTTCCTCCCTCAGAGGCATCAACGCTGCTTAAGACACGTACAACGAAAAAACCTGTGCGCCCAGCCTCTGGGCTCCATCAGAAAGCCCAGCATCCCTCCGCATGCCTGAGTTTAAGCAGCCACGCTGAATGATTGCCTTGTATCCGTCTGCTTAGCCACTTCCCCAAACCCACAGATCAGAGAGATTATTAGAACTTACTAGCAGTTACCTTCACTGGGGTCAAAGGTCACGGGATGGCAATTCTATGAACTCCAGGGACTCCAAAGCCCTAGTTCTCAGAACACCTGATTGTGAGGGCCAACCATGAAATGAGAACCTACGGCCTGACGTTTACCCGCAGCCCTGACTACAAAGCAGCACCAAGGGGTCAAAGGGCAGAGGGCAGAGGTGGCGCCCAGAGCGGGCTGCGGGGAAATGGGGTCTGACGGAGCTCGCTACTCGATGCCACCAGAACCAAACTATTCAGGCAACGTTCTGCCAGAACCAGCCCTGGGAGCCAGGGGATATGTATTTGAAGTGGTTCCGTTGGTCTTTTCACGATCCTATGCTGGATTTGCTCTCTTCACCCAGATTTCCAAATGCCTCTTCCCAGACTGAGAATGAGCAATGCCCCTCCCTCCCCAGAATGACAGCTCACCTCCCCTGCCCCTGCAGCAGAGGGGGCGCAGGGAAAGGCTCCCGTCTTCTCCCAGGGGCCCCCTCTCGGGGCTCCACAGGCCCAGAGGTGGAGCAGCGGGGCCAGGCAGCCTCCGCAGGTGTTACCGGGAGCTCCAGCAGCGCAGGTCGGCTCTGGAGGCTGGGCCCTCTCCACACCGTCCCGCTCCTGCTGCTGCTGGCTGGGAAGGCAAGCAGTCATCTTGCTGATTGCTCCCACCACTGCCAAGCCTGCAGGCCAGAGGAGCCATTTGGAAAAGTGAACAGAAAGCTCGGCTCACAGACCAAGAATCCCCCAAACTCCCAGCCCAGGAGGCCACAGCCCTCCTGCCAGAGGAAGAGGCTGTGACTGTGAAGCACATCCGAAGTCACATGTCACCACCAGCACGCTAAGGCAGGGCTTGACTTGCTGTTATCTCCTCCTTTCTCTATTAGCAGCAGAGCTGACAGCAAACGGGCACTATTCCTACAACGCAAGGTTTGTTCTCATGCTCTAACATCTTCTCTGTGTGTGTGTTTAATTTGTGTGTTTAATTCAGGTGGGATCAAACAGCTTCTCATCAGCCACAGGTTTAAAGACGGGGAGAGGAAGACAAGAGACTGGAACTTGAGGACAACCAGGGGAGTCTGTTTACCAGTTCCTGGTGAAGCCAGTTTAAATCATTTAAATCTAAATAAGGTGATAGAGGACTGTGGGGGGAAGAAATCAGCCCAACCAAATCCCTTGCTTTCTGGTTCACGGCATTTCGGCTTATTGCAGACTGAGCCCCCTGACTACTTCAGCCAGGACGGCAACGGGACCAGAGAGCGTCCTTGCTCCCCGCGCGGCACGGATTCTGAAGGAGCCACTGCTTCCAGCGGCTCATCTTGTGGCCTCCTTTCTTGCTTTAAACAGTACAGGTACCTGCCTGTGATGGTGGACCCAAGGTTTTCCAAAGTCTGTGCTTTTAATAGGATGAGACTTAACATCAAGTTACCAGTAAGACTGGCTGCCATGAGCAGAAGCCATGAAGCGGCTCAGGAGAACCTAAGACCATACAGAGCAGGAACCGGATGAGTGACTGGGAATTTGGGACAGGATGACAATGTGCGCAGCCACTGCTCCGCACAAGGTTATCGAAGAGCAGCTTCTATTGCCAAAAGGTGCCCTGATTACTGCTATCATACAATCAATGGGTGTGCACCAAGTGCCTACTATGCGCTCAGCACTTACGGAGGAGAAGAAATTAACACACGCATCACAAGAAAAGGCCATGGCAAGAATACCTTTACAGTTTGTAGACTGGCACCAAGGCAGCCAGGTGCCCTCCACTGCAGGGCACAATGCCCCCCACAGCCTCCCTGGGAGCAGGCACTCATCGCCACTCCCCAAATGCCTGAGGGTGCCGTCAGTCACCTGGCCTCCTCCTACCAGCTCCTAATCAACAGCCTGGGAAAGTCCTCTGGTTGAGCAGGGTTTACCTGCTGGACCACGATGGCGAGAGGGAAAGGAATGGAAGAGGCAGCTTCGGGAGGGCCTAGAACAAGTGGTTCCATCAGGAGGGAAACAGCAGGCCAGCGAGGGAGACCAGGGCCAGCAGACCACACTCCTGCTTCCAGACCCGCCCCGTGCAGACCCCACAGCGGCCACGTGGAGATCAGCCATCCCTCTCAACCTCCGCAACCAAAGGGCCCACGGCCGCACAAGGAGAACCAGGGCCAGCCCTCTCCGGAGTTCCCGCCTGCCCGGGGCCAGAGAGTGAGGGCAACCAGAAAAAATGTAGGGAGGGTGAAAAGAGGGAATATTTTTCAGAGAAACATGTTAACATGCAAGAGAATACAGCAAGGGTCCCGATGGCATAAAGGAGGAAACAAGAGGAAAATATAAAGAACGCAATGAGGCAAAGGATGCAAAAAGCACTGCGGCCCCAGGGGAGGGCTCCTTTTTCAAGTTCAGGTTTTTTTCAAAGCCCGCAAGGGAAGGTGTGACAGGCAGGGAGCACTCAGCAAGGGACACCGGAGATGGTGACAGAAAGGGGAGGGGCTCTCAGCGGAGGTGAGATGACACAGAAAAGCCAAGGCCTGGGTGGGAAGCCACAGTCGTGACTGTCAGCACCACGGGGAGAGAGCAGCTCAAGAGACTAGTGTGCAAAATGCCTGCACGGCGGGCTGCAACGCAAGAGAGAGGGTAGGAGCGTATGTGGGGAAATAAATACGTGAAGAAGGCAGGAGACTAATATGGACAGGGAAGGGCGATCCTGATGAAGAGGCACAGTAAGGCAGAGGGGGTGAGAGCAGAGAAACGAAGGCAGCAGGCCAGGAGAACGAGACCAGGAAAAGTGGCAGATCCAGGAGGGAAGAGGCAGGGGGAGGGAGAAAGGCCAGGGCAGTGCTGAGGCAAGGGAGGAGGAGAGCTGAGCAACAGGTTGTGTGCATGGAGTGGCTGAAAGAGCATCTCTCCCCTGCCAGGGGCTGGCAAAGCACTGGCAGCGAGACCCAGGGGGCCTGGAGGTTTAAAAGCCAAACCCCAGGGGAAGGGAGCACCAGGGACCCAAAGACGGGCGGGAGTGATGACTGGAACCCCAAAGGCAACCTGTGGGAAAAGTACGCGCATGACAGCTGCAGGGGAAACGCGGAAGCAACACATGCCAGTGCCAGGCAGGCACGGGGAGCTGCTGGGGAGAAGGAGGGAAAGTGATGAGCGAAGAGTAGGCGAAGGATTTGGAAAGGTGATGAGGGTGGAGCTGGTGGGTTGCAAGCAAGAGGGGGAGCACCATTTGGAGATGGAAGAAGCTGGGCAGAAACAAAACAACTGGGGAACTGGAAGGGGGGGAAAGGGGCCGAGAACACATTCCGGGGCAGGGACCCCGAGGGTGACAACCAGGGGCCGGGAGGACCTGCGCGGGCGGAGGGGACACCAGGCTCGAGAGGCAGAGGAAGAGGTGGAGCACGACCTGCAGCAAATCGCTGGGTGCTACCCGCTGAGCAGAGGGAGGGTGGCTGCTGTGAGCGTGGGTGGAGGGAGACCAGAAGGGCCCCTGAGAAAAAAGGGAAGAGAAGAGGAAGCTGGGGAGGTAACACGGAAGAGCGCGGGAGGGCGGGGAGGGGACGAGGGGGGGTCAGCAGAAAGACAAGTGTGCAGCTTGCAGCCCGGATGAGGTGGGTCCCAGGACGGGGCTCGGAGGGGGATGTGCGGGGCCGGAAGACGGATGACAGGGCAGCTGGGGCTTGCAGGTTGGCAGCAGGGGCATGAGGAGAGCAGAGGGGGGAGAAGGCTCGGCAAGGTGCAGGGGCCCAGCCGGAGAATCCCGGGAGCCCTCGGAGCTCCTTACCTGCTCCGTGTCCCTCTCGTTCAGCGTGGGCAGGGGGGTCCGGGCGCTGGACATGGCGCCGGTACCTCAGGGGAGGGAACCGAGAAGCTTGAAGGGAGGGAAGGGAAGGCGCGGAGCCCGGCCGGGCGGGGCTTCTCACAGCAGAGGCACCCGCCGCATGGGCCCCGGCCGGGGGTGCGGGGAGGCCGGGCAGCGGTTCACGCCAGCCCGGGGATGCGCCGCTCGGGCTAGGCCGCGCCGGCTCCGAGCGGCTCCGGGCCGCACCCCCCCGACCCCCGGCTGGGCTGTGCCGCCTTTCGGCCGGGCCGCGCCGCTCCGCCTACTCTCAGCCGCCGCAGCCGGCCGCCCGCCTCGCTCCTCCCCTGCCCTCAGCGGCACTGCTCCGCGCCCGGCACACAGGCAGCCGCCGCCGGACCTGCTGCTCCCAACATGGCCGCCGCCACCGCCGGCCCTCGGCTCTTTCCGCCGGCGGCAGCCGGAAACATCCGAATCGGCCTGGGACGGGAGGGCGGCCGGCCTCCTGCTCCCGGCCACCGACTACGGGCGGATTCCGGAAACGCCGAAGAAGGCAACCCCCGGGGGCGCGCGCGCCTCCGCGACCCCGAGGACCGGGCTTCGGCTCTGTTTTCGGAAATGCACGAAGCGACTCCGGGTGCCCTGGCCCCGCCCACAGGCCTGGCCCCGCCCACTCCGGCTGGCTCTCGGCAGTTTCCGGAAACACCCGAAGCCGCCCGCGTGCGGAGAGCCGGCCCCGCCCACGCCCCGCCCCGCAGCCGGCGGCGTCGGCCATTTCCGGCAACACCCGAGGCCCGGCGAGCCCCGGGTCATTCCCTCGAGTGGAGCCGAGTCCAACTCTTCGCTTCTTTCCGTCAGTTGTCGGGTATTTTCAGACCTTGAACGGGGAGCGGGGAACTCCTGTGCGTGCTGCTCTTTGACTAAATAGAAAATGAGGCTGTTGGGCGTCCCCGCGATTCTAAAGCAGTTTCCCATCGCGTGTCCGTTTGTGGTGGGGTCAGCTCATAAAACCCGTCTCGGTTGTCACCCAACCTATCAATATGTCTGTCACCTGTCAAGTACAGCATTATTCCATCACCTGTCTCCCTTCCCTTGATCACCCTCCATCTGCTATCCTGGCTTCTCGTCCCAGACCAGCACCCGCTCAGCGTCCTTGGCTCCCAGCTGCGAAAGGCTGCAGAGGTGGCCCAGCCCCGTGGAGAGAAAATGCTGGGTGATCTTGGGAAAATCACATATTGTGTCTGAGTTTAGCCTCCTCGACGTCCCTATATTGACAGAATCACATTCTAAATAACATCTTTGAATTCCAGTTACCTTCCCCCACGCCCCCAAAAAGTCTTTAAATTTTTTCAAAATAGCACAAAACATCACACTATAGTCATATTATCCTGCCAGCTACCTTTTCATTTATTTTTAAAGTACTAGTTATTTTTTAAAGTATATTTTTATTGACTTTTGAGAGGAAGAGAGAGAGAAACATGGACGATGAGAGGATCATTGATCATCTGCCTCCTGCTAGGGATCCTGCTAGGGAGGCCCTGCTAGGGATCAAGCAGGAAACACAGGCATGTGCCCTGCCCAGGAGTCAAACTGTGATCTCCTGGCTCATAGATCTATGCTCAACCAGAGCCACACCACTGGGCTCCAGGTACTTTTTTAAACTCTCCTGCAAAAGTCGAAGGCGGTTTGGCTCAGTGGATAGAGCATCGCCCTGCGGACTGAGAGGTCCCGGGTTCGATTCCGGTCAAGGGTATGTACCTTGGTTGCGGGCACATCCCCAATAGGGGTGTGCAAGAGGCAGCTGGTCGATGATTCTCTCTCATCGATGTTTCTAACTCTCTATCCCTCTCTCTTCCCCTCTGTGAAAAATCAATAAAATATATTAAAAAAAAAAAAAAAAGTCGAAGCCAGTTTGGCTTAGTGCACATGTGTCAAACACAAGGCCCGCGGGCCAAATTCGTCCCGCCAGGCCTTGCAATGTGGCCCGCACCGCACTGTCATCACTGCACTCCGCTGCATTTCCATCACAATGACAGTTTATGATTGTTCAGTAAACCATTCGGCCCGCGATTTAGGCTGGATTTTAGATTTTGGCCCCTTCTCTGATTGAGTTCGACACCCCTAGCTTAGTGGATAGAGCATAGTCCTGCGGACTAAGAGGTCCCAGGTTCGATTCCGGTCAAGGACATGTACCTTGGTTGCTAACTCTCTATCCCTCTCTCTTCCACTCTGTAAAAAATCAATAAAAATATATTTTAAATAAATAAATAAATACTCCTGCAAAGTAAGATAAGGGAGACATTCTCATCTTAATTCACATTTCAGTTCCAAGACAAAGAAACTCCAGGAAAAGAAAATAGAAACGGGTTGAAAATGAGAGTTCCGCGGGATGGCACTAAGAAGGGCACCTGGAGGAGTTCCTTTCTTCTCCTGGGCCTCGTGTTCCCATCCAGAAAGCCGGGAGGCTGCATTCATGATCTGAGCCCCGCTCCCCTTTGGAGAGCCCTGACTCCAACGGAAGTCTGTGTGGCAGCCTGGGCCCCCTCTTCCCTCCCGCTAGACTGGCTCACCGGGGAGGGCCGCAGGCCAGTCTGATTCCTCTGGCTCCAAGCTGCCCCCACCCAGAGGGCTCCAGACATGTTAGAACTTGCCCCCCTTTCCCGGGCGCAAAGGCAGCTTAAGGTGGGCAGAAGCCAGAATCCCCACGGGAGCCAGGTTCAGCCACCGAATTCACAAAGGGGCAGGGATGGGGGGGGGGGGTGCTGGCTGGACCTCTGACCTTTGACTTCCAACTCCGGGCTACAGTGTGTTGAGCTGAGCCCTTGGCCAAGTCAACCAGAGAAAGAGGCAGCGGGCAGCTACCATGGGAGGGTGGTATGAAAGTACTTCCTAAGGCAACAGCTACCCCCTACAGTCTTAGCGAGCGCACCCGGACCCAGGACACTCCCCCTTCCCCGTGCCCACCCAGCCCTTCAGGCTCCCGGCCGTGCGGGAGAAGTTGGGGAGAGATGCAGAGGAGTTGAGAGAGAAGAAAGGGAAGAGGTGAGAACAGAGGCTATTCTACCACCTCCCCCTTCCCCCCAACCCCAAATTCATCTTGAAAAAATCCGTGAGAATGATCTGCCCCCTGGTGGCCAAAGGGAGCGGCACTGCCGATGTCTGGCGAGAAGGGGAAGAGGAAGGGGTTGGAGAGCAGAGGTAGGTGCTCAGGAGTCTCCCTGGCCCACGCTCTGTCTAAGGACACTCTGCTTCCACCATGCTCTGTCACACAGGTTCCCACCCTGCGCTCTGGCCCCCGGCCCGCCTTACCCCATCCCGCCTGTCCCCTCGTCTCCCTCACTCTGCGCACAAGCCTGCCTCAGTGGTCTCTCTGCTTAGCCGCCCTCTGACCTGCCCCACCAGACACGCCAGAACCATCTTCCTAAGTCCAGCTTCGATGGCATGTCTGTCCTGCTGGAGGCTCTCACCGCTCCCTCACGGCACAGGCAGGCTGGCTTCATGGGCCTCTAACCTGTGCAGCCACCCAGAGAAGGGCCCTGAGCTTGATTTAATGCTCACACTCTGCTGTCATTCCGAAGTTTTTACCAAGGGGCCCTGCGTTTTCACTGGCATGGTGCCCCGTACGTTTTGTAGCTGGTCCTGGCAGTCGGAAAAGCCTGTGTGTGCCTTCATCCAAAGCTGGGCACAGTCTGGCCTCAACTAGCGCCCTCTCCACTAGGTGTCACCGGCCACACCTCCCCCAGCTCCTGCCCTGCCGCCAACTCTCCCCACCCCATGCTTTTCAACTGCCAGTCCCCTGCCTCAACTTCCAGGTGTACCCGAGGTCCAGTTCAGTTATTACCTTCTCACATCCGTGACACCACCTACTTCTCCTCAAAGATTGATTACACGTTACCTCAAAATCTGTCCATCCACAAACCTCTACTGAGCGCCTACGACGCGCAAGGCTTTGTCCTAGGCTCTTCAGGTGTAGATAAGTGAGGACCTCTGCTATCAGGGAATTACATCTCAATGTCTCCTCCCCTTACCCCCCCTCTTTTACCCCCCCGCCCCCCCCCTCCCCGCCCACCAGGTGGAGACAGACAACACACATAATAGTAAGAATTCAATGCGGTGGGGAAGTAGAGCTAGCTATAAGGGGGGTCGGCATTGCAGGGCAAGGTGGGTGGAAAGGGAGTCACAGTACTAAGGTGGTCAACGTAGGCCTCACTGAGAAGGTGACCTTTGAGCACAGGCTTGAAAGAGGAAAGGGAGTGAGCTCTGCAGATCAGGGAAGAACATTCCAGAAAGAAGTGACAGCCAGAGCAAAGGCCCTGGGGCGGGAGCAGACCTGGCTGTTTAAAGAATAAGGAGGCTGCCCAGGTGGGCCTGCTCAGTGGTTGATCTATGAACCAGGAGGTCACGGTTGAATTCCTGATTCCCAGTTCAGGGCGCATGCCGCGGGGGGGGGGGGGGGGGGGGGGGGGGAGTGTGCAGGCTGTATTCCCAGTGTGGGACATCCAATCAATGATTCTCTTTCATCATTGATGTGTCTCCCTCTCCCTTCCTCTCTGAAATCAATAAAAATGTATTTGAATAAAGAAAGGAAGACTAAGGAGGCCAATGAGACTGGAGCAGAGTGAGCAGGAGGAGCAGCAGGAGGACAGGGCAGGAAGGCTACGGGGAGCCAAGCGGGGCCCTTGCGGTGCCCTTCCTGGGAGGGAGGGGACCTGCCGGGCTGCTGGGCTGACAGCAGAGTGAAGGGGCCGGAGTGCAGGCAGGAGGCTGTCATGATAAATCAAGTGAGAGACGACAGAGGCTTAGAGAAGGCAGCAGCAGAGGAAGTGGTCGGATTTGAGGTATACAGGGGTACGCAAAAGTACGTTTACAGTGCGAGTACACAGAACACAGAATTTATTCTTGCATTACTATTTATATATATATATATATATATATATATATATATATATATATATATATATTTTTATTGATTTCAGAGAGGAAGGGAGAGAGAGAATCATTGATTGGCTGCCTCCTGCATGCCCCCTACTGGGGATCAAGCCTGCAACCTGGGCATGTGCCCCTGACTGGAATCGAACCCAGGACCCTTCAGTCCACAGGCCGACGCTCTATCCACTGAGCCAAACCAGCTAGGGCCTATTTTTTTAATAAATTCATTTTTAATACATTTTTATTGATTTCAGAGAGAAAGGGAGAAGGAGGAAGAGATAAAACATCAATGATGAGGGAGAATCATTGATCGACTGCCTCCCGCATGCCCCCCACTGGGGATCGAGTCCGCAATCTGGGCCTGTGCCCTGACCAGGAATCGAACCATGACCTCCTGGTTCATAGGTTGACGCCCAACCACTGAGCCACGCCGCCCGAGCTTTTTATTAATTATCATATTATTTTTCATTCAAACGACACAGGGCCAGTGCTCCCGGGCAGCCGTGATGCCCATGGGAGCCGGAGAAGGCAAACGTGTGGGACTCCCCACCCAGCAGGCACAGGGGCCTTCAAGCAGCCACCCCTCCGGGGCGGGCAGGGAGGAAAGTAAAGGGAGGGGAGGGTGCTGGAGGGGAAGACACCCTTATTCTCACGCCTCCGCGACGTGGCAGTTCTTCCCACCCCTCCCAGCCACGGAGCCAGCG